GTGGGGTGGGGGGCTGGGTGAGTGGTGGGGCACCAACAGGAAGAAGGGGGATGTTAGTAGACAAGGCAAATAAATCTTCAAATAATCGCATGTGTGGTCGCAGCCGAAGCTCTTCAACGCCTTCCTCAGCAGAGACTTGTCCCCGGACAGCCCGCCACCCCCTTGCGAGGCACACCCCCCAGGGTCCCTTGAGGCCCCTGCCCCCCTTACCGCTGTCATGATGAGGTCATTGCCGTCTCTCCGGAAGGTGGCGTGCGGCTTCTCGTCGACGATGAACACCATGTCCGCGGCGACACGCCCAGGGTGGTCGTCTCCTAGACGATCAGCAGGGTGGGCAGCAATTGTAGATTGCGTGCATGTGCGTGCGTGAGGGTGCGTGTGTAGAGTGGTGCGGCATGGCGAGTGGGGCTGGGGAGGTAGGCGGGGGGTGTGAATGCACAGGGGCTGTGTGCCAGGAAGGAGGGCAACCGGACGCCTGGCGCAGGACAGCTCGCGAAAGGCCGGTGGCCAGGGGCCACAGGGCGACCGCCTGGCACGGCCCCCCTCCCCCCGCACCCTTCTCAGGGAACGTGATCTTGGTGCCCTTCTTCCAGCCGGGCCGTATGTGGATCTCCAGGATCTCCTCTGCGCGCCCGTTGGAGGTCTGGGCGCACCAAACCACACATGATGAGGGGACAGGGGAGGTGGGAGCGAGCAGGTGGGCTGCACGCGTAGCTGGGATGGCGGCGCCCTCTTCGCCACGCTGTGCGCATATGAGGCAGCATTGCACTGCCAAGATTATGAAGCCCCGTCACGCGCGCGACCTCCGGCCCTGCAGCCAACCCGTGCCGCGCAACGCCCTGTTTGCACCCACCTGTCTGTTGATCTTCATCTTCTTGGTCGTGCCGCTGTACAGCTCCTCCAGGGTGCAGGCCAGCTTCACCTCAATGGGAGGGTCCTTGCGCGGCCCCTGCGGCCGCCCACCCATGCCGCCCATCCCACCCATGCCGCCAAACGGGCCCCCCATGCCGCCCATGCCGCCGAAGGGGTCGCCCCCCATACCCCCCATGGCCCCCATCGGGCCGCCAAAGCCGAAGGGGTTGCCGCCCATGCCGCCCATGCCGCCAAAAATCTGTGATTGTAATTGGGTTTGCAGGAGCCAGCATTCCCAGTGCGCCAGGGGTCGGGAAGGAGCGCAGGCCGTTTCTCTACGGGATGAAGGCGTTGCGCATGCCACACACCAATACAAAAACAGCCTGCCGCCCCTCATCAACGCCGTCAGAAGCACCCACAGTGCGTTGCCGCCCAGGGTCGGCGCGGCCGGCGCACCTCTGCAAACAGCTCCTCGGGTGAGCGCCCAAAGTGTGCGCCGCCGCCGCCCCCGCCGCCGCCGCCGCCAAAGCCGCCGTTCTTGAGGCCCTCCTCCCCGTGGCGGTCGAAGATTTCGCGCTTTTGGGGGTCAGACAGCACCTGAGACGTGCGCGCGCGTGGTTGCCTGCGTCAACACCCTGAACTGGGTGGTGCATTAGCCTGCCCTGACATACCGGTGCAGGCCTTTGCTCAGTTCATGGGCAGGGCGTTAGCACGATTGCAAGGCCCGACGTGCGGGTGAGCGTCCTCCTGGGCGCAACCGGCCTGGGTGCATGCTGCAGGCTTCCTTAGCAACACAGATGCACGATGGTGCAGTTGGGTAGGCATGTGCGCGCGCGCGAGCACATGCCGGCATAAGGAGTACACGTGTCTGTATTACGCGCAGTGATTACTACAGGACGGCACCCACATGCTTGTGATAACAGTGCGATTGTGCACATGAATCTTGCCACAATTCAAAATGTGCATATGTGTGTGCGCGCGTACGCGTATGCGCACACCCACTCACCCACTCACACACACACGCGCGCACGCGCACACACACACACACACACACACACACACACACACACACACACACACACACACACACATGCAAACACTCACCTCGTAAGCCTCCGAGACGTCCTTGAATTTGGCCTCCGCCGCAGCTCTGTCGTCAGGGTTCTTGTCCGGATGCCACTTCATGGCCAGCTTGCGGTACGCTGGGGTCGGAAAGAACAGGGAGCCCGTAAAACTGCAGAACATGCGCGCCTCACAGCGCAACGACTGCCAGCAGCAGTGCTGACCATTGTGCCGCCCGCTGCGCTTCTGGGCACACAAGCTGCGCCTCGCCTTGTCACCGCTTGGGCTGTGCGCCTTGCGACATGCGTGCATGCAGCATTGCCCCCTCTCGCCCTTTGGGCAACCTTTGCATGCCCCCAGGCACCATCATGCTTGCCCCCACCAGCCCACCCTTCTTGAGTTCATTTTCGTCCGACCCCTTGGACACCCCCAGGATTGCATAGTAGTCCTGCAGGCAGAGGGCAGGCACACACAACAGCACAAACGAGCAGCTACTGAGGCGAAAGTGGCGGTACCAAGGGGAGCCACAAGCGATGTGGCGACTGCTCACACGTATGGGCAGGTGTCTGGCGTGGACGCGCCAGGTGCCAGGCAGCTGGTGAATGTGGGCTGCTGGTTACAAGAGGCATGCGCCCAGCCACACCCACGCACCTTGCCCATCGGAGAGCCACTACAGCCTGCACCCCGCCTGCACGGTGGGCGGCGGCCTTGGCTTGCTCGCTTTCACCCGGCACCTCTGGACGTCTGTTTGTGTACGTCCGCCACGTGTTGCCTCACGAGATCAAAACCACGCCTGCTGCTGGGTGCACAGCGCACTCCCTCAACGTCTGCGTGCGGCCCCCGCGCACGTGCTGCCTGGAGTGTTCGAAGTGAGACAGAGCCACGACCAACGCCGCCAAGCTGCGCCGTTCGCCTGCCAGGGCACTCGCTGCGTGATATCACAGACTGGGCCCTTTGTGATGAGTGCACTGTGGCTTGAGATGCCCGCAACCACGCACTGCTTCCAGACGCTTCGCGTCGGCACGGGTAATAGATCGATTCTATCGCGCTGTTGCGGAGCAAGCACTGGATGGATTGCCTACAATTGCAGCTGATATTCCTTAGAAATGACCCGCAGGGTGGAGGCTCGGCCTCGCACCTCACCGGTGAGAGCACTGTACAGGCAGGTGCACCGGCCAAGGGAATCCATGCATGCGTATGCCGACAATACCCTTCACCCCTCAATTCAAACTAAAACATACACACCCCTTCCCCCTTCCACTTTGTTGCCCAAGTTCAGCTGTTGACTGGAGAGAGACGGGTTGGGGACGTCGCACGGGCCCCCCGGGCCTTTGAGCGCCGGCGCTCCCTGCATCGCATGGCGTGCTGATCTCTCGGCGCTGCCCATGGCGCGCCTGTGAAGCCCGGCCCATCAGGAGCAGGCAGCACTCATGGCCGCTCCCTCGGCGACCGATATCGACGCTATCGTGGCGTCCTCCTCGTCCATGATGTCTCACTCTACAAGTCAAGTGGATGTGGGAGACAGCCGCCGCATCAGGCTCCGTCTCGCGTTTGGGGGCTCCTTCATCGCTGTGAGTGCAGCAGCCCGCGCACGGGGTCGCCGTCGATTGTGCAACAATGGATTTTTACCAGCTCTGGCGTGGGCGTGCCTGGAGTGGCCTTGGGTTCTGCCTGCGGGACATGAGATCACGACGGCAGCTCTGGAGGACGAGGCCAGCAGCTGGGGGAAGGCAAGGGGTGGGATGCGCGTGGATGATGACAGATAATTGTTGCTGCAGTCGAGGCAGCCCAACGCGGGCGCTGAACTCGCCGCATGTGCACAGCAGGTCGCCCGCTGTGCGCAGGCCGCTCAACAACCACCCGCGTGCGCCCCGCTGGTGCGCGGTATTGCTCCCTCGCAGGCCGCGGACGGCTCCTACCGCTACACTGGCGGCGAGTACTACAACGAGAGCGTCCCGGCTGACGCCCGCTATGCAGACTTTATGTACAAGGTCGGCGGCTGGCGGCAGTGCAGCACCAGCCGCGCGCGGGCTCGCTCCTGACTGCTGCATCAGCCAGCTAAGCAGCCAGTGCTCCGCAGTCGCCTACGGCTTGAGGTGGTGCATGGCAACACCGTTGCCGATCCCCGAGTGCCCGCGCCCACATTTGTGCTGCCCTCGCAATTGTCCCCCTGCCGCCCTGCCCGCAGCTGGGCGAGAAGTTCAAGACCGCGGTGAGCGTCAAGTACCAGTGCCCCGGCGAGGAGATGGACCCCGGCGCACTCATCACCGTGGCGGACGACGATGACCTGGCGGTGCGTTTTTTGGGGCATCAGGGACGGGTGGTCGCAGCCGCTGTGGAGAGAGCGCGGCTGTGGCGCTGCTGCGTGCGGCAGCTGACTCGCGAGATGCGGCAGGCCTGACGAGCGGCCGCCAATCAGCCGTGCGTCATTCAGCAGGTCGGGTGCAGGGGGGTGGCTGCAAGCGTGACTGCAGGTAGATGCGAGGTAGCTGCCCTTACCCGCACCTGAGCTTCCCACACCGCCCGGCATGGCCCCCGCCCCCAGGAGCTCAAGGAGGAGTACTTTCAGCACCTGCTACGCCCCGGGACGCCCAGCAAGACGTTCCGCATCCGCTGCTTTGCGTTCGCGGCCAGCGAGGACCCCATGACGCCGGACGAGATCCTTGAGGGCCAGTGCTTCTTCAGGTGGGTGCGCACACAGACGGGCCCACGGCACTCCCAAGGCGGCGGGAGACCTTAGTGGGGGCGGGGAACCTTTGTGAGGGAACACAATTGAGACGGGTGCGTCTGCAGTGCGCGCCTATTGCAGAGCAAATCTGGTCTACCCACCCTGTGTGCGTGTCAGGACCACGAATGTTGACCCAGCCATGCCCTGCCCTAAGCCCTGCCCTATGCCCTCCCTATGCACTGCAGCCATGATGTGGTCGTTGCAGCTGGCAGCGGTGGGGGCAGGGGTGACGGCAGCGGCGGCGGTGGCGGCGCGGCCCCATACGACTCTGCCCTGGAGCAGCAGGTGCTGCTGCACTCCCTGCTGCCAGCCACAGAGGGCGGCGCGATCGTGCCGGCGTCGGATTGGGGGGCGCCCAGCCGCGCCGTGGCCTTTGCGAGCTGGGGCGGCCCCGGCAAGGCGGCCGCCAGCGCAGAGATGGAGCGCGCGGCGCTGGCGCGGATGCGCATGAGCATCAACAACCTCTCGGACTTCAATGTCGGCGCTGCGCTCGCGGGCATGCAGACTGCCGGCGCGCTCTGGCGCGGCGACACCTTGCCGGCGCTCGCCGCGACCGCGTCTGGCAGCGGCTTGGCCGCTCTGAGCGGCGGCTTTGCCGTCAGCGCCGCCGGCGCTGGTGGCGGCTGCGGAGCTGCCGGGGAGGACGACCTCACTGACGCGGAGTTTGATGCGGCGGACGAGGCCGAGGCCGCGGTGGAGGCGTACTGGGACCGCCAGGCGGCAGAGGAGCTGCTGCGGGCGGCGTCGGGCACGGCCAGAGGCGCGGAGCGTGCTGGGGTTGGCGAGGCGCCGGGGGTGGCGGAGCCGGGGTCGGCGAGGGCTGTGCAGATGCTGCCGGCGGACCCCTTTGATCAAGAGGGTGAGCACTTGCACTCATACCATGAGGAGGGAGGGACCTGGTGTTGGATCGGGGAGGCGGCCATGCTCCGCTGCAACAGGGGAGCAGAGCTCGTGCATGCGTGCAGCATGCTGCCCAGCCTGGCGATCATCCACCTGCACATGTCATCACTGCCATGCACGATACCGCCGCCTGCAGGCTCACGGGGTTCGTCGTCGGGCGGCTTTGTGCAAGGCGGCGGCAATGGCGATGGGGATGGTGACGCGGATGCGGATGCTGAGGCGTTGCTTTCCGCGATGCAGGAGCCAGACGGCTGTGGCTGCGAGCCAGGCGCCGTGGGGGTCAGAGTGGAGATTGTTGCAGCGGCCAAGGCTGCGTGGGGAGGCGGCGCCGCAGACGCGCCTCTGGGTGGCGCCAACCTGCCGAGCTACATTTCGGCATTTGGTGACGCCGCGGATGGCGAGGAGGGCGGCGCCGCGGCGGATGAGGACGCGGCCTCGGGCGGCGGCGGCGGCGAGGAAGGGGAGGATCCTGGCTACGTGGCCGCCGGCGGCGGCAGCGGTGTGCAGGGCGGCTCTGGCGGCGCCGCGCGGCCCCGCGCCAGCGTGACTGGCGTGGGCGGTGGCGGCGGCGGGTACGTCCCCCGCACTCAGGACTCGGGCTTCAGCCTTGAAGGCGAGCGCCTGTTTGTCGCCGCCGGTGGTGGCGGCGGCGACGGCAACGCGGGTTGGCGCGGCGACGGCGGCGCGCCGCCCGAGCGCGCGGACAGTGGCGACAGCCTGCAGAGCCTGCCCAAGCTGCAGCCGGTGCACCGGCTGACGCGGTCTGAGGTCAAGGTCGTGGCCAAGATCGGGGAGGGCGCGTTTGGGGAGGTGTCACGGGCGCAGGCGCCGCTGTACGGCACAGTAGCAGTGAAGTGGCTCAAGG